TTTTTTTTTTTTTTTTTTTTTTTTTTTTTTTTTTTTTTTTTTTCTTTTTTTTTTTTTTTTTTTTTTTTTTTTCGTGGGGGGGGGGGGGGGGGGGGGGGGCGGGGGTAGGGACGTTGTTATACTATTAATTGGCATTACGTATCTCACAGTCACCACCAAATTGTTACGGGGTAACAGGCAGATTTTTGGATGGAGCAACTGCGATGGATTGTCACTTCAAAATCGTCGACTCGCGTAATGTTACTCGAAAGTGAAATGAGGTGATACGATTTGGCGATGGCTAAGGCAGCTTTCGAGTAAGTTACTGAGCACATATAAGGACTTTTCTAATGAACGTTTATGTTTATTACACTCTTGACACTTTATATATTTTATAACTGTTTCTATTTATTATTAATTTATTATCATTTCCTTTAAGTTACAGAAGTATGGGGGTAGAGGGGTTATATCTCACTTAACATCAAAACATAGAGCTTTTTATAACAAATTATCAGGAAAGTATCTTGGGAGCGTTCTCCCTTTTTCTATCTTAATGTTCCCTTTTCTGTTAATTGTACAATCCCGCTTTTTGATTTATGATTCTGTCTTTTAATTACCTTCTCTATTTCGTAGGTCCCACTGATGGAGCTACAGCTGCATTTCTCTAAACATCTTTGTAGGTTGAAGACTCTGTTGTAAGCCCATAAAAGTAAGTATCACACTTTTTTCCTTGTTGCATGTTGTGATGGTTCTACTAAGTCTTACTTCCTTTTTAGGTTTAGCGATAATTGTCGTATGTGGGGCCCAGACTTACAATTGTGGGTGCTTGTTCCAAATCTTGGGGCTTCTCTTGCATACAATGGGGAGAAATCAGGTTACATGATCATTGATTTTGGGTCACGATCCAGCTTGCGATTCCGGTCATGTTTTCAGTCACGTTTTTGATAATCATTACACAACAGCTTTACTGGATTTCCCTCTAATAATGTGAAAGAATACACAGTTTTTCTTAAATTATCACAACAGATTTTAATATTTTTTGATTTACATTTTTTCCTTCAGATTAATCGTTAGTCAGAATGAAAGTTTATAGTGAAAAATTTGATCATTTCAAAAATATATTATTTCATATAAATATAAGAAAATTTCTAAAAATACTCATAAGGTATGATTTAGTGATACAAATCGAAATCAAAATTAATCGATTAGTTGGTTAGTTGACAACTAATTGATTGAACTTTTTAGACACCTAATAATTGATTAATCGATTAATCGACTAATCGATTAGTTCTAATAATCAATCAAAGAATTAATTGATTAGTTGCAAAGAATTGATTGAAAAATCATTTATTTACTTAATTGACCAGTCACAACTGATTGATTAATTGATCAAAAAATTTTTGACGATTTGTAACATTTGGTATGATTATAGTTAGTGGTAGAATCAATTTTAAAAATTATCAAATTACGCCACGTGTCGTATTTTTTGCTGTAATTGCTGTAATTATAAATACAAAACCAAAATTAAGCATATTGACCAAAAGCCTGAATCAGAATTCATCAGAAACAGGTCGTATTAAGTAATACCGAAATGTTCTGATGTATACTAACTAGGGATGTCAACGGTTCAGTCATTACCAGTCATGACCGTGACTGATACCAGTTCAGTCACAAATTCTGACTGACCGAACCGACCGTTTGACAGATACTATATTTTGTTATTTATCATTGTAACAATCTGTAAAATAATTTTTCATGATGCAAATATAGATTTGATTATATGGATTGTGATGAAATTATTGTTATATACAACTTTAACCAAATAAGCTAAATGATATTTAATAAATAAATATATATATCAGACTCTGTCGTCACATATTGTTATGTGTTGCCTATTTTTTACACGCCATTTTTCACACCTTATATATGTGCGATAACTTGTGTACACATAAGCGTATATTGTCTAAAACATTGTCTCAATGTTTAATATGACCAGTACTACGTACCCTTCATGTGTACAGTATATCGAATGAAAATAAAACCCGGAACTGATTTTATTATATTTATTTAAGGTTTTTTTCCCAATAGGTTTTTTCTAGACTATAAGTCTAAATTTATATTTTATCTCTATTATTAAATTTAATTTAATTTATTTATAATAAAATATTATATGATTAACTATATATTATATTATTACAGATTATAATTTAAATATAAATTTATTCCGCATTAGCTTATTAACTCTAAATCAAAAAACTTTAACTTAAATTAACTAACATTAATTAAATAATGTTGGATATTAAAATTTTAAATTACTCATCAATCATGACCACGGTCGGCTCGGTCATGACTCATAACCGATGATGACTGACTGAAACCGACTGTGACTGACCATTGACATCCCTAATACTGACCCAGAATTTTGGTAGATTTTCTGAATTTTGGCTCTGCTACACATTACGGCAATTAGATGCTATGCCGTAATTAATTCTAGAATGCCGTAATGCCGTAATTCAGTAATTCTACCACTAACTATAGATATGATACCTAATATAAAAAAATATATATAGCATATTAGGTTAGGATAAGTTAAGATAGATCAAAGGTGTATTTATAAGTAAAATTAGGCACTGATCATTTTTACTTAAAGCACCTACACCAGTTTTCTTAATAAAATTTGGAGATATTAATGATTTTTTATTTTTTTTTCTTATACCTGGGTATGTACTCATCGAGTACAAATAGAAATTCTCTAAATATATAATTATAGGATAAGACTTGAAAAACATTGGCATACTGTGAGGTGCATGGGGTTACACTTATAGTTGGTGGTAGAATTAATTTTGAAAATTATCGAAATATGACATGTGCTGTATTTTTCGCCATAAATATAAATATGGAACCATAATTAAGCATATCGACCAAAAGCCTGGATCAGAATTCATCAGAAACAGGTCGTATTAAGTAATACCAAAATGTTCCAATGTATACCGACCCAAAAGTTTGGTCAATTTTCTGAATTTTGGCTCCACCACATAATTACGGCAATTAGATGCTATGCCATAATTATGGTAGCCGTAATTCAGTAATTCTAGCACCAACTATAGTTACACTAACTAGGGTTAGAGCCAGGAATAATTTATTATATTTGATAATTATATATGCAAAATATACAGTATTGAGAATAATAATAGGAACTGAAACATTGATTTTCCGAATGGTTAGCATAGTAATTGTGTTGGGGATCACAGTAACAGCCCAGATAGTAATTAAATGAACACTATTTGCTTAATTATTCAGCTGGTAATTTCTTGCCTGCCACAGCAAGTTGACTGTTAGAATGGCTGAATCAGAAGCTCATTTTCATGTGCATTAAGTTTGTAAAGGGATTGGGTAAGACGAGAAATTTCCGAAGTTTGCAGGATAGAGTTCGATGAAGCTGGAATTTTGGTATTTATGGCATAAGTTTAGGTGGCTTGTTCATGTATCATGTCGAAGTAGTGGCTCATGTTGCGGTGTTAGTGCATTGATTGGTAAATGAGGCATCATGTAACATTTTTGAAGCATGGTAGTTTGTGCAGGCTGGTGTGTGAGAGAGCATGTGATTCTGTGTATAGTAATCTGTTATTTAGCCTGGTCTTTTGAATTGTTGACTAACAGTCAACTCACATAATTCTGTTCAAGGTATTGTCAATCATTGTGACATAGTAAAAATTCTTAAAATTTATTAACATTAGGATTAACTAGTGTTGTTAGGCGAAACTATTTTTGTTAAATGACAAAAGTCGAAACTGACAAAACTCCAGCGAAACTCCCAGTAAAGCTAAAACTCTTAGAGAAAGTTAAACATAGCATAGATTAAATCCTCTAAGATTTTGGAAAGACTGAACCATGTTGGTGAATCAAAATAATTTGCATGTGGCCATTAAGAACAGCTGGCTTATATAAGAATATACAAAAGCAATAAACAAAGTGATGGTCTTTTATTTGTATTTTAATACTATTAAAAGAAAACTAGACTTCAGGCTTTTGAACTTATAATAAATCAATTCAGCGCCTGAAAATTCAAAGTTTGAAATCCTGTTTTCTTTTAGTAGTGTTTATTTATGTATTGATATTATTTGTATAAAATGAATTTATCAAAATATTTAAATAAATTTACTATTATATAGTTAAGATTTTTTCTTTACAAGCAATTTATTATTAAAACTTTAATTAAATATTATACATATGTAAATAATTTGTTAATATTATTATTGATAACTAGTTTCTGATACTTTATTTAAAATAAATCAAGTAATAATAAAATTATCTATTTTTGATTTCTGTAAATATACATTATAATATTTCTTTTTATCTTATATATAAATAAAAAAAATAAATCATTCTATTAGTACTTATTTTATTAATTTTCTTATCTTTTACTAATTTTATTATTTTTTATCTTTTAGTAGGTTCACCAGTTTTAACAGTTTCATTATTTCACTATTTTTAATTTTTTTTGGCAAAAGTTGAAACTAGTTTTGATTTTCATCTTTTGTGAAATCTCTAAGTTTTGTCTAACAACATTAGTATTGACACTTAGAATAAAGTTAGAAGTTAGTTCATTATGTAAACTCACTTAAGTAAACTTTTTTGTTATAATATTAAAAGTGGTTTTTATATAAGTTTTTGAGAAATTGTCAATTTTTGACAAAACAAACATTTGTTTTAAAATTTTTTAATTACCCAATTCTTGAGTTCTGATTTGTGGATCAAAACTTGCATTACAATCAACAGAATTCAGATTTTTTTGAATACAATACCATTGTTGTACCTTGCTTAATATGCTATCTAAATTTTTTTAAATTAAAAAGATTTACTTGTAAGATTAAGTCAAAGTTTGAAAGTTTTTATATATCAAAATTTTGCAAAAAAAATTTTTTTATTAGTACATAGAAGGCAGTTTAATAGACTAAATTTTGAGTTATAATAAAATGAATATTTGTTTTGAATTTTTTGATCATGTTATATAAAAAGTTAATTTAAAAATCTTTTAATATTAATTTAACTTCTTTATACATTCATTTAAACTTTTTAAAATTAAGTTTTTAATAATAAATATACTACTTTAAATATAGTACACTAGTATTAACTTAATTTTTTGTTAAAAAAATCTACTTTAATAAATTTTTTTAAATCAAATTTTTTTTTAATATTATAACTATATTATTATATAAGTAATATTAAAAAAAAATTAAACTTTTAATAATATAATATATCAGATAAAGTTCTTGAAAAAATTAATTTAATAATATATATTGCTGAGTTAAATTTTTTAAGAACTTTGTTTAATATATTAAATAATTAAAAGTTTAATATTCTAATTTTCTTATATATTTATATACATAATCTTGTATTATCAAATTCAATATGCATAAGATGTAGCAACTTAATAAATTGAATAAGTTTTCAACATCCAAGTAATAGGTTATGAATTTAAATCTCATTATTAGCAAAAATTTGGATAAGTACTTATATAATACTTGTATTACAGTAACTGTTCTAACAATTAGATTAAAATATTTGTAATATTAGTTACATTAGTATAACTGACAGATTATAGAACATCTGTGTAACTAATTACATATAAAAATACAAAATTATATCAGATAATATAAACTCTAGATAAATTCTTGTGTCCATGTAAATCTATTAAAATTAAAAACAAAAAATCTATTTGAAAAGCCTTAAGTAGTATTACAGATGCCAAATTCATAACAGTTTATGCATTATAATATATTGCACAAGTACTAATCAGAACCTATGATCAAATATGTATAATTGACCCCACAACAGTAAAATGTATATAATTATAATCCCAAAGCCAAAATTTCTAGCAAGATAAATGTATTCAAATTAGAGAAAACATAAGGTTGTAAATATAATGTTTCAGAGTAGTAGGTTTTAGATAATAAAAAGGTGAATTAGTATAATTGTAATAAAATAAAGTAAAAGTAAAATAATTAAGAATACAACATTTATTCATTCTAGTAAAATCTGTGATCATATAATTAGAGAGGTGAAATGTAAGAAAATGAAAGTAAAATCAAAAAAATAAAATTTATTAGTAACAATAAAAATATATAAAAAAAGCAAAGTTTTAATAAAGAAATACTAATCTTAGATATTCTAATTAGAGAAAGAGTGATTAAAGTCCCTTTAGTAGTAGTAGTAATGTAGTTTAGTAGCAATTAGTTAAGTTATTATTAAAAGAAACATGGTACAATAAATAAAGTAATAAATAAAATACTTGTCAAATCTTTATCTATATCTTGAAGTCTTGTTATCCTAAATTTATAATGTTATATAAAGTCTTGACTATTGGAATGACAGACTCACTATTTAAACATTGCAATAAAGAAATAATATAGATCTTTAACAGAACTAATATAAAGACTAGATTACTAGAAATGAATACCAATATTGAAATATCCAAATAGATAAAAACCTTTAAAAAAAGGTATTTCTAATTAAACTACTAGAATAAATTAGAAAAAAAGAATATTATACTGATTTGATATACTAATAGACTAGTTGTAGTTCTATATAAGTTATTTGAATTGGAAGTTTAAAGAACAGACAAGAGTATACTAAAATACTAGAGATATGTTATAAAGTAGATACTAGAGTTTGAATGAATTCTACAAGAATATAGCAATTTAATGTTTAGCCTGATTGCAAATATTAGTTCTAATATAATAATATCTAGGTTAGTTATAAAAATAAGTAAGAAGGCTCTAAGAGGTTTATCTTGAAAATAATATAATTCTAAGATTAAAATAATGACTAGGTTATAATTCAGTAATGTTAATACAAATTGCAAATTTAGAAAATATAAAATAGAAAATTTAAGAAAAAATATTAGATATAGTAATTGATAGAAAACCTTTAGATAAACTTCTTAAATTTATAATATAGAATAATTATATATATAGTTGATTATACATTCTTTTTATAGTAATTTATAAAATTATATTATTAAAAAAGTTATTAATAAAAGCCAAAAAACTAAAGAGACCATCTTAAAAAAATTTAATATATATTTTATAATAAACTATTTTAAGTTTTTAAAATTTAGATTTAGAATAAAAGAGTATAACAACTTAGTAAAGTGAATAAGTTGTTATCTCTTCAAATGATAGATTGTAAGTTCAAAACCTATTGATAGTAAAATTTGAATAATCATCTATATAATATATAAACAATATTATAGTAACAGCATTCTGTTGATTAGTTGAGATAAGATACTTGTAGTCATAGTTGCATCAACATGATTAGTAGGTTTGGGACATTTGTGTAACCTTAGTTACACAGAGGAATGCAAACTGATACTAAGTGATGTAAACCTAAAATAAGTCTCTGTAGCTAAGTAAATCTGTAGAACTAGAAAGCTAGAGCTCATTTGAAAATTCTGAACAAAAATATAATATGGATCTTTAATGGTACTACTATAAAGGATAGACCTAGAAAATGAATATCAATGTAAAAGAATCAAGTAGGCAAGAATCTTGAATAAGAGTATCACTAATCAGGCTGCTGAATTTTGAATCAGAAGAAAAGGTTATTAAGCCAACCCAATATATCAAGAACAAAGCATAGTTCTACTGGACTATCTAAATTGGAAGTCTGAAAACAAAAGCAGAGATATACTAAAAGTACTAGAAATATGCTATAAAGTTAATACTAGAATCTGAGTAAACTTTGTAAAGATAGCCCTTATTAGTGTTCTAAAAATAGATAGATAGTTAACAATAGGAGGGCTTCTGCATTTTACTGCAGATAATGTATTCTGAAATATATAATGGCCTGGGAACTAATACAAAAAGGATAGGTACTATACTGCTTAAACAGTATTATAGTAAATATATACAGGGGGTTAGTTGGTGTTATATCATGATAGGGATGAATGATTAGAGGGTTTAAATAAATAATCATCTAGTAGCTTATAAATATAACATTTAGTATAGAACTCTAAAGCAGACTGCTTAAATAGACAACTAAAAGCTGCATGTATAACTAGTTGTACTCTTATTTCTATATAAAATAGTATAATAACTAATTCCAATAATGTCAATAAAGTTTCATTATAAAGTATAACCTTTAATACAAAAAAAAAGATTTAGAATAAATAAAATACTATAGTAAATATAATCTATTTTAAAAGTTTTTATATTAATTTATAATGTTTTTGTTATTAAAACAATATTCTAAATAGGGTTTTATAGCCTAGTGGTCTAGGCATCTCCCACTTCACAGACAAGGTCAATGGTTCAATTTCAGCAGAAGGTAAAAACTCTGTAATCTATAGAAACATATGAATGTATACAAAGCCCTGTGGCCAAGTCCATATAACTAAACAATTAGTATATAAGGAAGTTTCCAAAAAGAAGTTTTCTAATATGGAGAATTGGTGCTCAATGCAAGAGAAGCAGTGAACATACTATAAATAAAGATAAGGTACACTAGTAGTAATATAATAAACATAAAAGAAAACTATAA